GTAGGATTGGTTTCGTTTTGTTGGATGTACCACCACACACACACACACACACACACACACACACACACACACACACACACACACACACACGCCCCCCACCCCTCGATGTGTGCTGCTGTTGGGCCACAGCTCCCACAACAGCCAGAGGAAGAGGAAGAAAAGAAACAAACAAAGGCAGTGCAAGGGACGTACAGAGAGGAGGGAATGACAGTTCATGCCGTCTTACAGAGACGTGATTCTCGCATTGCACACGAAGAGATACAGGCAGGAAGAAAGAGAGAAAGAAAGACTGGAAGTCATGTACCTTTACTCCTCCACGACGTGTTCTTCACCCGATAAACCGCAGTAGGGCCAGTGCTGCTTGCTGAGCCGACACCTTGCACACACCAGCTGCTCCTTCCGTGTCGTTCGGCCTTTCCCGTTCTTTTTCGCCGCTTCGTTTGAACGCGACTGTCGCCATGCCGGGGATGACTGGACCGCCAGATCACGGCGGCGACAGAGCACCCGCACCACCGCGGCAGCATCTTCACAGCCCCGCAGCAGACGACGGCGCAGCGCCACCGTGACGGTGGTGTCGTTGTGTGAAGCTGTTTGAGTCCGCCGTGCTTTTGCCATCACACGTGTCCTTTTACGCGCCTCGCTGCAGCAAAAGAGAAAAAGAAAATAGAAAGGAGGAGAATACACACACGCACAAAAAAAAAACGTGGGAAAGAGAGAGGGACAAAAGTGCTAAAGAAGCAAAAGAAGGAAAATAAATAAATAAACAAAAAAATCGTGTGCTGCGTATCTCTGACCGCTATCTGCCTTCACACTGCCACCGTCAACTTACGGCAGGAAAGACACGAAACGATCATGACGGTGCCATTCCGTGGAGGAGCACAACGAAAGAAGGATGAGATGCAACCCACGATGAGGATGACATCAAAAAGAGAAAGAGAGAAACTACGTTCTCTCCCTCTCTCTGTGTTTGTTTGTGTGTGAAGTCAACTCTTAAAAACATCCCTTCCCTTCAAATGTTAAGATGCCTGAGCGTTTGGATAAACTTGCCACGGTGGAGACCGCTTTGCCTGTGCCGCACGGAGGTCCCAGCAGACACATCCCCATTCCTGCCTGAACACACACACAAATGCCCCCATCACCCTCCCCGCGCAACAAAATATAAAAAAAAAAAGGAGAAAAAAAGAAAAGAAAAGAAAAAGAAGCAAACAAACAGCCATGCAATTCACAGACGTAACGTACACACAAGCACACAAGCAAACGCACAGCTCAAATAATAAATAATAAATGATGGTCGTGCAGAAAGAGACCCTCTCCAAAGAAAAAGAAAGAAAGACATAACTGCGACAGAGAGACTATAGAGGAACGGAGCACTCACAGTTATAACACTCACACTCCGAATCGTAGTTTAGGGCATTTAAATCCACGCGCTCCAAAACAATAGCGCCGTCGGTACCACCGCCACGAAGTGACACATGTCCAAACTCTTGCCGTATGCATGTGGCATCAAATGGCACTCGTGAAGACGTCCTCGTCGCCTCTTCATGAGTGTCCCGTGGATTCTTCTCACCCCTCCACTTGGTGTTCAAAAGCGTCATGTGCAAAAGCCTACCTGTTGCTCTTCCACGAGGGTCGTTCGCGATAAGCTCCGAAAAACATTCATAGACTAACTGCTGCAGCGTCTTGACCACCGCCGAGGATGCGGCATCCATGAGCCCCATGTACAACACATCTGCTTTTTTTTCGTTTCTTCCTCGGCCATGCATCACATGCAGACCACCAAGATGAATCTTCAATGAGCCACAATCGCCGTTATCAGTGTTGCTGTGCTGTGTCTCCTGCCACAGCTTTAATTTCTCCTCTAGCACCCGCATGCATGCTTTGGCCAGCGTGATTGCCTCTGGTGTTGGAAGCGACAGCATGAGCAACGTGATATGCATGCGAGGGGCGGTGGTGAAGATGTCTTCTGTAACCATCGCAGCAGGATCGACACAGCGGGTTTTCATTTCCTCTAACAGACGCGTCGCATTCAACCGCACAGCAGAAAGACTTCCAATCGGGAGCGATACAAAATGCGTGTACGAAGTTGTTCTATGCGGACTACTGCCGCCATGAACTGCCTCATCTGCTTGCCTCTCCACTGTGATACCTTCCCTCTTCCCTGCCTGTGTGTTGCCAAAAGTTACGGTGGCCTCCAGGCTCAAGTGCTGTCTGGTGGGCAAGGCGGCCGTAGTGCTCTGGGCGGCAATGCGATAACAACGACCATGTGGAAGCGACAGAAGACGCACCGTTGGGTCCTCCGAAAACCCGAGGCAAGCCTGGCTGCACGCAACCGCAGCACCACGACGCGGGTTGAATTCCACCACGCCCGGCTCCACCGCAAGACAAAATCCACACACGCGACGGGGATCGACGCTGTCACGCATGCAGATGGGGCACCGCCAACCATGCAGTCGTTCCTGACCAGCTCCAATCAACCCTCTTCGGCTTCCACCACAATCCCTCACTCTTACTCCATCCTTCCCTTTTCTCGCCATACCCCTTCCTTCAGCCGTAGCAACACCACCATCAGTCACCACGGGCCGCCCCTGCGTCATGCTATCATCCATCTCCACCCACTCCCGCCAAGGAAAAAAGACAACAGAAAAGTCAGGTATCCAAAGCTCCCAATGATATCTTCCACAAAAAAGTAAAGGACACAGCATCACCCAGCAATCAAAAACCAACAAAGAAAAAAACAACAAGTCCCAGAACAGAGAAAACTCAAATATCCCACACAAAAAAACACAAAAAAATACCGACACTATTAAAAACACGAATACTCAAACACATACACACACGGAAAGCAACATAGTCCGTCCCAAAGCACACGAGCCTGCGAAGACGAGCTCAGCAAATACTTCCGCGAGGCGTTCCTTCTTGCGTCTGACCGCCCGCCAGTCCACACTCCGCGCCGCGGTGTTACCCGTCTCGTAGCCGACGACCTCAAAAGACACAATTCCTGTTCCGCCGTCGACCGTCGGGCGGCCAGAGGGACGCCGGGGCGGTCGCGGCCGCAGGCATGCCGGCAGTGACGGCACCACAGCCCGCTGCCACACCGGCCAACGACCCGCTGCCGCCACAACTGCAGGTCAGCAGCCCGCTGGTCGTGCGCCCCACGCTGCTGGCATCCTTACTGCTTCGGTGGCCTTGTTCTACGGACAGTTACGTGCTGGGGGAAAGTGGAGAGGTGTGTGCGGGCAGCAGTCGCCACTGGCAGCAGAGCTCAGCAGCACAGAGAAAACGAAGCACCAACGCAACCAGCAAACAAAATCCGTCGACGGGTGTGGGTGTCAAAACAATCAAACAAATTCGTAAGAAGTAACATTTTTATTTGCCCACCACCGTCGCAGTGCCATGCGCAGAGTGTGTGCAGGCTGGACAGTGGCCAATTAATAAATTGCTGTACAACAAGAATGGGGCAACAGGGCACTGCCCCACAGAGAGCGAAAGGATTATATACCCAAATAAAAAAACAAAAACAAAAACAAAACAACAGCAGAAAATGTGTCTGGATAAGGACTTCTCTTCCATTCCTACGGAGTAAAAGTACAACAATGGAAGATCACAGCTTCTTTCAGCGTTTCAGAATTCTAATTCAGAGGAGGTCCGCTCAGCACCCACGAACAAAGAGGGATTCAAAAGATATGTGGCCATGCTCAATGGGCTCTCGCTGTGAACCCATGAATTGACGAGTCCTCAGGGTCCCGCAACAACCGGATTCCTCCCGCGTAAAGGGCAGTGGCGGATGGGTCGGTTGCGAGGGAAAAAAGGACCGCACCCCCCGCGGCCCGATGCATTAATAGTGGAAAACAGAAAACAAGTAGCACACACACAAAGGAAAAGAATTGTCAAACAAAATGCAATATTATCTCAGCCCCATCGGGTCGCAGAGACTTTACAAAAGCTTTTCTCAAGAAAAAACAACAACAACACAAAATCAGTCATGAATCATCACCTTACAGCGAAATGGACAAAAAAGAAGTAGTCACACCATCGTTCGATTTCTCCCGCCGACGTCCATGGCAGTTCAGTGCACGGGGGAGAGAAAAACACAGACAGTACAACATGTAGCTCTGGCCGTGCACTGCAACTGAACTGATGCCGGAAAATAATAAAACACACGTGAAAGGGAAAAAAACAAAAGACGAAAAAAGAAAAGACCAAACAAACAAAAAAGACAGAGGGGATGCCATTAGAGCATGATGAGGGTCATGCGGCCCCAAGTGCGACCCGGCGAAAAGCAGCTCGCATCGTCAACGGCATCCGGGTCGCGGACGGAGGGCGGGGGCGTGTGCGCCCTCACTTCAGCACGGGCTCTTGAGCACTCAATGACTCCCTGCTTCCCTCAACCTTACAGTCGCCGGGTGGCTCCTGTGGCCGGACGACACGACCATCCACGTCAATGTTGTCGCAGATACGTGCGGCCGGGATCAGCAGAAACACCAGCGGGATGCACACGAGCGGACAGAGGAGGTGCCCCACAATCAAGAGCCACTTGACGTTGCTGAAGTCGCAGCCGACAGCGGGATCCGTCTCGACGGGCCACTTAAATTCCATCAACAGCGAGCCGACGGTGTTCGAAACTGCCTGCCCAAAGTTCGCGAACCCTGCTAGCAACGCGTACACCATGCTCTCCGTCCCACGCGGACACAGCCGGGAAAGTAGGATTATGCCTGGCATGAAGTGCAGCATGTAACACACCTGGTAGACGACCTGGTCACCAAGCACATACACCACGTGATCGCTGACACGCGGACGGTTCCACCGCTCCACAATGATGAGGTCAAAGATGCTGGCCACAACCATCACAAGCGTGGTGAAGACAAATGTGATGCGGTAGCTCTTCTTCGAGAACACGTAC